TGTCTGGAGTTTCATCTTTGGTGAAGCTTTCTCCATCAAACCTAGACTCTTCTGATATGGTGAGCAATCTTCTTCCCTCCGTTTATACCACCTTTCTATTGTGCTGGTATTTCCATCATTACACTCTGTAGTAATGCCTTTCCTATTGTATTGATCTATCCAATTGCTGCAGGGAAAAAAATCTACTCTCCTAATATTTGACCTCAAGAGGAAAGTAAGCTAAAGTACAGGGATCTTCTGTATGTGTATGGCTTGCATAACTTAATTCATAATAGCCATGAATCTAACAGGGAGAGTAAGGTGAATAAGCATGTTTTTGGTACACTTCAATAAAATTCTAGATAAATTCTTATAAACATAAAATGTCAGGAAGACAATTTATTTTTTCAGCCCAGAAATATTGTATGGACTAACATAAGTCTGAGTTCTGCCTTTTGCAGCAGTATACAACTCTCATTACAACCCTGATGCTCTCTAAGCCCAGGAGTGCACGGCAGTGTTGAATATACACTGGTTTTTCTATGACACTGCTGCTTTTTTATGTGAAATGAAGAGCAAAACGCATATATTCACAGAGCAATCTTACAGGGACTCTTACTTAACTTCAGGAGAATATAAAGTCCAATTACATTAAGATAACTGTAGGTGCAGTGTCTTAGGACAGGAGAAAGCATTTTTTCATATTATTGGTTGATTTTCTTGTTTTATTGTAATCATTTGAAGGTACTCTGTCTGGAGACACTGCAAGAATTTTAGCTGAGATGAATTAATGGACACAGCACATATAAGATCCCCAAATGTGCATCAGTGTGATGTATTACTTGGATTTATGTCTTTCCTAGACATATGGATGGAGTTCATAAATATACACGGAAATTTGGTGCTCTCTAGCAAGATAGCCTCTTTAAGTGTTGTGTAACTCAGCCATTTACTATTTGTTGATGGCTTTGAGCTCCTATTTCTAGTAACACAAAGTCACATATTTATAATGTGTTCTAAATACAGTAATTAAGATACAAGAAGTTTAAGAAAGAGTTAAATTACTTCAGAATTATTTGCACACACAAAAGTGATTATATACATGCATACTCAAAGAGTTTATTACCATTAACTATAGCATTATTTCAGTTTTGTTGGTGGCTTTTCCAGAAGTTTTGGTCAGCCCAAAGACTTTGGCTTTGTGATGAATTGGAATGTACACAAAATCGAACTTGTTCATTCTACAATAGGCACATAAATAACTCACGAGACTCCTAAACCAGCAAAACACTTCAAAGTTTAGACTAATCTTACATTAAAGCATATGATTTAACACCCTGGTGAGTCACACTCAACATGAGGAACTCCTGGAAAAGGAGTTGGTACATACAAGCACGTATTACAGAGGCAAAGAAAAGCTGGTTAAGCTGAACCAGACAGATGAACGGGCAGCCCTAAAATCCAAGCATTTAGTAGGTCAGCTGTGTAGGCTGGTGTGGATAAAGTGGTCCTTGAAATTGATGTAAACATAATCGAATGCAAAAACATGAGTGTTCAGATATCTTCTTGCAAGGAAGATAAAACTTCACAACTTACTGTACGCATTTCAGCTGAGGTATTTGTTAATTCCAATGCAATGTTAAGTAAAACAGGGAAGCTTACACTGGTTGGAGAGAGCTAATTAAGCCAACCTCCAAACATCTCAAGAAAATACACAAAGAGCATGTGAGAAGTCAGTCACCACATATCACTTAGAAGATGCAGGGTCTCTGTAAACTGATCACGGGAGTCTGGCTGCTCCCAGAAAGCTCTTAGAAAAGAATCATGGTGCAGCAAGTGCCATTTGAAGTCGAGTGACAGCACCCACACAAGACTTAATATTCTTAACTTAAACAGGCTCAAAATATTTGGCTGATTTCCACAACCATTTACGTGACCATCAATATTTGCTAAAATTACTAGTGGTTAAATAACTTAAGGCCACTTACTGTGAATAAAACACTTAGATTATTTATAAGCCAGACCATCAAACTCAGAACAAAAATACACATCTCTCATTGCCTAAACATTGTATTTAAAAGAGCACAACTGAAGTGCAATATTTGGTGGAAGACATAGGGATAACTTTTTTGCTTCAACTCATTTTTCTTTTAACAGTACTCCTCTACCTAATCAAAGAGCCAAACTCCCGAAAATTATCGACTGCCTTCTGAAAATGGAAGTCAGAATTAGTAGTAATGTTGCCAGAAGAGTAGAAAGATATTTTACTTCAATTTACTGTGAATAGATCTCGTGTAAATTTAACTACATGTAAGCTGTCATACAAGCTTACATATATAGAATTGTATGATAATCTTGTCTGGAATTCTTGAGAAGTAGGAGAACCTGTTCTTGAGCATCATCCCTTGTTAGCAATTTCTAGAATAAGCATTAATATATACATAAATAGATAAAAATAGATAAAATATGCATATCTATCTTTTTCTGCGTCTTCTGTCTTTAAAAACATTCCTTGAATTGTACTGTTACAATTGTGTTACTCCAAGATAAAAACCACTTAAGAATGCAGTGTAGTTAGTGCAGTCTTCTGGGCTCAAAGCAGTAGGCACTTGAACTCAAAGCTAAAAAGATAAATGCTTCCTAGTAGATGTTGCACAGCTGTGTAGAAAGAAAATCCTTGAAGGAGATGGTGAATTGGTGATAGCATTCTCTGCAGATCTAAGCCTCACTACGTTTAACAACACATCTACACAAAGACACCAAAAACTGAGAGGTCCAATGAATATGGTCTTCAGGAGATGGCTGGCAATTTTGATTTAAATTTTACAGCTGTAGAGAGACTGCTCCCACCTATCTCATTTAGTGACTGGTGATATGAATGTAAAAATGAATAATAAAAATCATATAACGTTGGTCTTGTTGCAGTTCCTACCAAACTGCCAGCCAAGACCCAGGACAAAACAGAACCTAATCCAGTCTCATGGCAGGTCATCTTCATGAAGGCAAGGCATATTAACAGTATCGTGTTGAAGTTACGCTGCCATATTTCCTGCCTGATCTTTCTTCCCTTTGTCATTTCTTAGGTGTGAGATGTGCTTATTGTGCCAACAAGCAATAGACTAGAGATATCAATATAGTGGTACTATGACAACCCTATACCAATCTTAAAATGTCTTTAAGGCAGGTTTTACCACAAGGAATCATAGAATCACAAGATTGGAAAGGATGTACAAGATAATCTAGTCCAACTGTCCTCCCATTATCATTGCTACCAGAAGATACTAAACCATAAAAGATGAAATCCTTTTTTCTTTTTCAGAAAAAGAATATTTTGATATACTCCTTAGATTACCCAAAGTTAATGGCTTGATAAGAAAACTGTAGAATGCATTCTATGTCCACTGATCAATAATAGCTTCAGATTCTCCAGAAGTTGACAAAAAGAGATTCTAATCCATTCAACATATGCTTAAACCTTCACGGGATCAAGACAGTGCTGTTTTATGCAATACATGAATACAGCACTTCTTGAAACTTTACAAGGCAGCTAATCAGGTGTTACTCAGGAAAGCTAGAAGCCAGAGCAGTCAAAGAACAAGATCAGGCCATTCCAGAGGTAGGCAATTCACCACAGTCAAATGCTTAGAAAACCTCATCATTCTCTGCTTTGGTATCTAAAACTGAAATCAACTACTGCATAATATGGCTAGTGCTTGCAGTTAAACCAGGCATATTGATTTCGACGCAGTATTCATAATAATAAAACACCTTATGGTTTCAGACAACTGCAAGGTCATAAAGCTGTGAAAATGGCTCTGCTCCTCTGCTCCTGCCATGTGTAGTGCCATGTATACCTACCACAGGATGCAGAACTGTGACAAAGACTGCAATGCAGCTACACTGTTTGTCAGCATGCAGCGTTTTCCGTTTTTCTACCTAAGTCTACTATTCTGTATTCATATATCTCTCTTGTTTCAGTGGAAGCAAGGAGAGTATTTCTTCACTTCACTGAGAGATACTTATGTGTGGAAAAAGAACTTGATATTACGTGGAAAGCAAAATAAACAGATTGTCAGAGCAAAAAGTTAAGCCAAAGTAATGGAAATAAAAACATACCAGATGAAGATAGAATTGATTATTATCACGGAAATTTAGTGAACTTTATATTCAGTGGATGAGCACAAATTCATATTTTCTTACTTTACTATGACTCAACTTTAATGAAAATTGGAGTGTAGATAGTCAATGCTTCCATTTCATCTTGAATCAAGGCATAAAGCAGTCTTTCATCTTGTGCAGTCTTATCATAATTTTGTTTAAAAAACAACAACAACAAAAAAACCACAACAAAACAACAAAAAAAACCCAACAAACCAAAACAAAAAAAAACTGCAGGTAAGGCAATGACATTTCTGTGTTCAGTAAATTCCGTTTTGTCAGTATTTATTCATCTGTCATCTAAGATGGAGACGTATTATGGTCTTAAATTCAATGAAAATTTTTGTTAGCAAAAAGTTTGCTGACAGAATTTTTTTGCAGGAATGGGTTTAACTGGACTCAACTGAGTTCTTATGAAATTGCAATGGATATGAAGAGTGTCTTCAAAGCTAATCCTTTCAGTCTAACCATCTTACCACATTTTGGATGCTAGTTACTCCTGGACTGCTAATGATAGACACAGATTCTAAACATCACTAAAATGGTGAGTATGTGGAAAGGAGGTTCAGCATGCCTTTTTCCTCGTGTGTTTCACATGTAACAACATACTGGAAATAGGAAAAATAAAAGAATTCACACATTTCCATGTTGGGCTCAAGAAATGGAAAGTATTGTAACCAAATCTATTCTTATTTTCTATCTATTAGGATCTTGAGAATTAATGAAACAATATAAACTGAAGAAGAAACCTCACAAAACCAACATAGTGTATAATTACAGATACAGTGCAAAGGGCTAATCAATGTTTAAAAAAAAAAAAAAAAACAAAAACAAAACAAAAAACCCTTGCCACAAAACAGTACCTGCTGCAAAGCTGTTCGTATGATGTCAGTGCAACAGGATGCTGCAAAGAGAAAAAAACAGCACTGTAAAGAAGGTACTTGAGAAAAAGCGTTGTGTGTATTGCTATCAATTACATGTAATTCTGGTAGATGTGGCTTCAAAAATTAAGTATCTTCTGTAAAGAGGAAGCAGGGAAAGTCAGTGATGAACCTGCAGTGCAGTCATACATTACAGACAACAGAAGATCCTTTTTCCTGGGCAGAAATTACACCAATGTGACCTAAATGCTGAAACAAACTCTCTATACCACCCTCAAGTATGCAAATGTATTCTGGACCTGTAGGTAAGCAAACTTTCAGAAGTTTGCCAGAAATGTCCATCTGCTCTTTGTATTTTGTTACACCTGCAGTAATCAGACCTATCAGATCCTCCAAGACAGCCTTTCAAGATTATTGTAGAATGCTTTTTTTTTTTCTTTAAAACCTGTTTTTGCATGCCTGTTTCGAGGCACGACTCAGCACAAAGGGCCCGAGACCTAAAGCAGGCTATTTTTTACCGGATAACTTAGCCTGTGCGCAAGTTGCACAATGAAGTAAGAGGCTTATTAAGTTTGCACACTTACATGAAGTGGGATTAAGCACGTTATTAGGCCATAAACGTGCCCCAACTCCTCTCTGTAATTTCTAGCTGCTGCAGATGATGTGCAGGCCATAAGGATTTGTCTGTGCATTCGTTTTTCCGGATCTATTGTTTGTTAAAGAGGCACCACCGGCGATGCAGGCGGGGTAACCGTAGGCGCCGGGTTACAAAGTCAGCGCCACAAGGCGCTCCGAGGGTGCAGAGTTCAAGGCTGTTAACACCCTCCGTACCGCTGAGAGGTTGATATTTTAAGCATGTCTTGAATGCCAACGTGTAATTTGATTATCTGTTATCAAGCCTGCACTACAAGAATTCCTCTTCCCGAAGAAATCCGGATAGTGCTACACAGAAATTTGCCATCCGATTTTTACCGTGATAGATTCAATAGATATACATGTGCAAGAACAGAAGACAAAGTCAGTGCGAGAGGCGCTGCCGGGATCTCTAACCTCGCACAAAACCAGGTTTAATTCTTCTCTCGTAGTGCCGCCCCGCAGCGCCCGCGCTCAGAGCGACTTACGATGGCGGTGCCCGCGCACGGCAGCGCGTGGTGCCGCGCACCCCCATCGCCCGGCACGGCCATTGGCACGGCCGCGTGCTCGGAGCATTTACAAGAGAAAGGACATCCCGTACTGCGGGACAACGGCCGCACTCTGAAGTCACCACAGAAGGGATTTCTGTTGCTTTTTGCTTCTGCTCCGCCCTTCTTCTCTCACAACCACACCGCTCACCACAGCCGCTCCCCGCAGCGCGGGGCGGAGCGCCCCCCGCCAGGCACTTCTCCTCAGCGCTGCGGAAGCGGCTGGGACCGCGCCCGGGGCGTGCCGCACCCTGTGCCCGCGGGCACGGCGCGGGGCAGCGCTCCGCACTCGGAGACTTCGCGAAAGAGCAGCGCGGTGCCGCGCGACCTGCTTCCCCTCGGCACGACCGCCCCAACTCGTGCCGGTGCGGGAGGGGGAAGGGGAGGGAGGAGCGGGCACAGGAATCCCGCCACCCCCCGCCGCTATCCCAGCGCCGCGGCTTTAATCGTCTCCTTATATGGACAGCAGAATGTCTGACGTCATCTCAGCGCTGGGAAACCAGCGACCGCGCAACCCAGCTTGGCGGCGGGGGCGGGGGGGCGGGAGGCGCTGGAATGCTGACGGACGCGGGCTCGCGCCACTGGGAGCGGCGGCGGCGGCGCGGCCATTGGGCGAGGGCGGTGGCGGGGGCGGGGAGCGAGGGGGTTGGTTGTGGCGCCTGAAAAGCCGCCGCCTGGCTGCCGAGGGGTGCCAGTGCGGGGTGGGGGCCGCCGGGGGAAGGCGAGGGTAGCGGGTTCGAGTCCCGCCCGCGCCGGGAACCGCCGCTCCGCGCCGCCGCAGCCCGCTGAGGGGTGAGGAGTTCGGGGCGGTGGCGTTTCCTTCTTGCTTTCTCATTTTTCTCTCTCGGCGGAGGCCGCGGCTTTCTCCGTTGGGCGCCAGCCCGCGAGGACAGAGTTTCGCAGGAGTTTGTGTGGACTTCGGGCTCCGGCCCCCCGCCCCGCCGCCGCCATGCCCGTCTTCCACACGCGCACCATCGAGAGCATCTTGGAGCCCGTGGCCCAGCAGATCTCCCACCTGGTCATTATGCACGAGGAGGGGGAGGTGGACGGCAAGGCTATCCCGGACCTCACCGCCCCCGTATCGGCCGTGCAGGCCGCTGTCAGCAACCTGGTGCGGGTGAGTAGGGGCGGCCGGCCCGTCCCGCCTATTCTCGCGGGGCAGCGCCTCTCACGGCACGGGGCCGCCCTCGCCGGGAGCCGGCCGGGGAGCGCGTCCGGAACGCCTATGGCGCGGGGCCTGCGGGGCTGGGGCGGCTCTGCTCCTCAGCTGCGGCACCGCGCTGAAGCCCCGCGACTACTGCTATTTATACCGGCCGCTTCGTGCTTGCTGAAATGCCTCACAGATGTTTTGTATATCTGGCGTGAGGTTTTTTTTTTTTTGTTTGTTTGTTTTTTTCGGGTTACTTTTTTTCGCTGTCTTCAAAACTCTTGTTTTGAAGAACAAGTCTATTGAGAAGTCGCTGAGGGAACTGGGGTTGTTCAGTCTGCGGAAGGGGAGGCTCAGGGGAAGCCTTATCACTCCCTACAACTCTCTGAAAGGAGGTTGTGGAAGGTGGAGGTCGGCCGCTTCTGTCGGGTAACAGCGATGGGGGGGGAGCCTCAAGTTGTGCCAGGGGAGCGCAGGTTGGATATGAAGAAAAACTTCTCTGAAAGAGTGCGAGTGCATTGGCACAGGCTGCGCAGGGAGGAGGTGGAGTCACAGCTCCTGGGGTGTTCAAGAAGCGCGGAGATGTGGTACTGAGGAACGAGGCTAGTGGGCACGGTGGAATGGCTGATGGATGGGCCAGATGATCTTAGAGGTCTTTTCTAATTGTAATGATTCTAAATGTGTCTGCTGTAACAGGCGAAGTACTTAATCAGTATAATTCTCTCCTGGAGAGGAGAGAGAAAGGGGTGGGGGGAAAAAAAAAGGCAGGGATGTGACAGTGAGGTACATGGACAGGGGCCAGCTGTCCGTGCTCAGCGCTGAGTGGAGCAGCCCGGAGCTGTGGCCAGAGCACAAAGCTGGGGGCTGCTGCTTGCTCTGTTCTGCCTTGAATGAAAGCCGCTCTCTGCCTGCGGGAAGTGATGGTGGGTCAAAATTGAGCAGAATCTCTAGGATTCTTGGGGACAGCTAAACATAGCATAACTTCTCAAGGTACAAGTATTTGCAGTGTAGACGCATCAATCTGAAAAATGCATGACTAATATGTCTGAAATGTTTTCTGTTAATGCTTTTGTGACTTGCTGCATCAGAAGAATAGCAAGCTCTTGTAAAGTGGAAGTGTCTTGTTTGATGTGAAGAGCAATGGAATACTGTTCTTCTGTTCCTTTAACAGTAATACTTGTGCTTCTGTTAAGTTCACTTGTAGACACTTCTGCATTCATTTTGAAACGTAACACACTTCATGCTGGCTATGAATCCTGTAAAAATCTTAAGTTCATCATAGAAAGCATTTTCTCTTAACAAAAAAGTTTTGAGTTGTACTGTAATACTTATACATGGTTAAAATACTGCATCACAGTTAACTGATACATTCATTAACATGTGGAAATCATGGGGCTTGCAGGGACAAGGAGCTGTCAAGATGAGTAGTGCAAGTGATTCGTTCAGTAGATTTCAGCTTGCAGTACTTCCAATGCAGTAATAGCTCCCCACTTTGAGGTTCTGCAGTGCAATTATTGCTTCTGATCCTATGACTCTCTGAGTTCTATGGGATGCGCTCCACAACACTTGTGCCTCTCTGGCTTCAGCTGAAGCTCCTGAGTTCTGATGAAGAGAGGTCTGCCTGCAGAGTGAACAGCTGTAGTAGGTGCTCTGCTTGTATGGGTGTTCAGCCACAGTGTGTGAAATGCTTTTCCCTGAAAGGAAGACTTCAGATGTAACTTTGCTTCTGAGCTTAGCCTGCCTCACTGAATTGTATGATTTTGTTCTTTCTTCCTATGCCCCACCACAAGGAAGCTCAGTCTCAAAAAGTAGGACTTATTTCAGAAATCCAGAAATATAATTAGTTTTTTTTTTTCCTACAGCTTGCCAATGCCAGACCATCTTTCATTTGGGGCCATTTTGGAAGCCTCCGATTTTCCGTTTTGGAATCCTCTGATTTTCTTTCCTTGCTTGCCAGCTGAATAAGAAGACAGGCTGTTGAGTACAGTTTATGTGTTAATTCACAGTGAGCCAATAGATGTGTAATCTGAGGTGATGCTTAAGAGAAAGATGTCCTGGTTTGGTAGAATACAGAATTGACTACATTAAGAAAAATACAAAAGCAAAGTTCTGTTTCCAAACTGTATAGTGCAAGTATCATAGAGTACAGGATGGTGAACACTGACCAGCAGAGGCTATTTTATCCGTGAAAACGTGTCACACACAGCAACACCATTCTCCAGCTCACCAGCCTTACTACAGGCAGTATAGGCTCTGTAGTTTAGAGCAAAATTGAATCCCTGTGACTATTGCATCAGTAAGCAACTGGTGGTAGCTGAGATCTTCACCTGTGCAATGCTGAGGAGATGTGAAAAATGGGTTAAGAAAGATGTCTCCTTCAAAGAAGGAGCCCCATACAGTTACTTTTTTTTTTTTTTGAAGTTCATTTTGTTGATGTTCTTGAGGTACAGGTAAGGCAGTGTACTATATTGAGGTTGGAGTGGAATTTGATGGATCTTCTATAATGTACTAAATCAGTTTTTTTGTTTCTTTAACTGAGGATCTTAATGTTTTTATTGGCTGGTATTTGGAATGGATGTGTGCCTCTTAGGGAAGGGTTTGGGTTTGGCTTGGTATTTTTTGTAGCTGAAGATGTACCACAAAAATGACAGGATTGTTTGGAGGAGAAAAATTAGTCAAGCTCAATAGGCTGGGAGTAATTTGGAGCTTGCCAAATATACTTCAAGTTTAGTGGGCAGTAAAATGAAATCTTGAGTGATCAAGCTTGACTTGAAGGAAATTACCTTATGGTACTTTAGTGGTTTTCTAATCTCTTTCATAAAGCATTAATCAAATCTATCTTTTTTTTTTAGAAGGGACTTCTGTCGAAGATGACTAATAGCAATGCAGTAAACTTAAACCTTTCATACCCTGTATAAATAACTTACCAATTTTGTGGAAGGGAAAAATAACTACTTTCCAGTAGTGACTTAACAGTTCTATCTTCAGAATAACGTTATAATACCACAAAACAGAGAAAGCATGTTCTAGTCTGCCATTTTAAACTCTGTTTGCTTACTGCCTTGTATAGATTCTGATTTTCTGCTGTTAAAGATATGGACTACACTTGTCACTTGTCTCTAGTGCTTCAGACTGAGCTGCTTCACAGCAGAACCTTTGCTGCTCTGCCAAACATCAGCAGTCCCATAGATGAAGCAGCTGAGCTTATCATATAGGGAATAAATTCTGTGCATGATAGGATAGCAAAGGTGAGTGTGTGAGGAGGCTTAAGTACACACAGCTTAAGCTCAGAAGTGGTGTCAGTGGCTCAAGAAGGTGTTGGCTTTTTAGGGGCTGAGTTGTCTTACCAGGTCAATATTCTGGAAGATTTGACTCTTTACTTGAGGCCAAATGTTGGACCATCGACCACTGTTGCTATTTTTCACTTTGAGTGAGTTCAGTCTGTGAACTGGTCATAATTAAAGGTGTTCACAAATAAAGTGTCTGAGATGGCTTGGAAAGGAGGTTTTCATTTCCTTTAATTGATGTTGCAGCTTGTATATTTTTTCCATCCTCTGTGTTACATATGCTGTTTTTTTTCCATTTTAAGTTATGTATTGTATAATGTTTGCATATATCCAATTTCTGTTCCATGAACTTTTATGGAGAGAAATTATTTTACTGTCTATTGAATAGTTAAGTATTGCATTGCTTAGAAATACATTCTGGATGCTGTGATGAGCCTTTATTCACTTACTGAGATTTGGAGGCTTAGGAAGCTATACTGATATCTTTCTGCATCAATGACAGTTACTGTGCCAGGTCAGCTATGAGCATTTTGTCTTGCAGTTGTGGTGCATCAGATGTTTCTCTTCAGTCCTGCAAGCCCAACCATTACCTCACCATGAGCACTGGTACTGAGGCAAACACATGAAGCTTAAAATACAAATATGCATCTCTCCCACATTTTTGTTTTCAGTCTCTCCTTGACAGCTGTCCTATCTCATCCTCGTGAACAATGAAGTTATCTCCTCAAGCAGTCAGTCTGTTCTGGGTATGTATCCATGGGCTTTTCTCAAGTGCAGGAAATGACAAAGGCTCACGGGGCAGTGCAGAAAGAACAGCATTTTCTGTGGACAGTCTGTGAGTTACCTGGTAATGGCTGATGCCCATTGGACTGGAAATCACTCGAGTTTGTGGAAGATGCAACATACCTTGAAACCCCTGTCATAATTGCAGTGGTAAAATTCAAGTACATTGCTGAACATAGTTAATATGGAGAAATGGTGTGGAGAATTGATTGGGAAAGCAGTTTTCTTGTCCTAGACTTTCTCCTGGCAGAGCTGGCTTGCCTGTATCTCAGGGTGTGTGAGAGAGGAGCGAGCTTAGTGAAATGATTAATTGGGAAAGAAATCAGCTTGCTGTTTTTCAGAGCCTCATTGAGGAGGGCAGAAAGGAGAAAACAATAAGGTGTGGGTTTTTTTTTTTTTGGTTTTTTTTTTCAGGTCTGTAGTAACTTTCGGAGGCTTTTTTGGTGTTGTCTTTTTTCCTTCATTGCTTCCTGCCATACTGAAAAAGTGAGTTGTTAGAGCAGCTCATCTGAACTGTACTGTGTCTAAATGTACTGCCAAATAGCAAGTTAGTAGGAGTGCTAGAAGAGCTCCGAAGATCTCATGAGAAAATAGACCTTTTCATTGTGTATTTCTACATTACATGTGTATATATAGTGGAAATCTATGATTACTGTTGGGTGTTATTTCTTTATAACATGCATGTAATATGTATTTGCTTACCTTTGAAATAACGTCATCCTACTTTGATGTATCTTCTTTAGGACTTTTTTTTTTTTTTCCAGACCATGGGAACAGTGACCATGTGTTCTTATTGGATGAAAGTGTTCCAGCAGTGTGCCCTTGTGGCCAAGAGGGCCAATGGCATCCTGGGGTGCATTAAAAAGAGCATGGCCAGCAGGTCGAGGGAGGTGATCCTCCACCTCTACTCTGCCCTGGTGAGGCCTCATCTGGAGTACTGTGTCCAGTTCTGGGCTCCCCAGTACAAAAAAGACAGGGATCTCTTGGAAAGAGTCCAGCAGAGGGCCACAGAGATGGTGAAGGGCCTGGAGCATCTCTCCTATGAAGAAAGGCTGAGTGAACTGGGTCTGTTCAGCCTTGAGAAAAGAAGACTGAGAGGGGACCTGATCCAGGTCTATAAATATCTAAGGTGTGGGGGGCAGAATGGCGAGGCTGGACTCTTTTCAGTGGTGAGTGGAGACAGGACAAGGGGAAACGGCAGGAAACTGCAGCATAGGAAGTTCTGCACAAATGTGCGCAAGAATTTCTTTACAGTGAGGTGACGGAGCACTGGAACAGGCTGCCCAGGGAGGTGGTGGAGTCTCCTTCTCTGGAGATGTTCAAGAGCTGCCTGGATGCCTACCTGTGCGACCTGCTGTAGGGAACCTGCTTTGGCAGGGGGGTTGGACTCAATGATCTCTGGAGGTCCCTTCCAACCCCTACAATTCTGTGATTCTGTGAAAGCAGTGAGGGTGTGTGCATGGGGGTGGCCTGAGAGAAGGAGTGTTGAATTAGAGCAACTTTGTAATAACAAAAACACATCAATTTTTTTCTTTTATCTGTTAGGAGTCATCTCTATTTAAGTGGTAAATCAGTTTCTAACTTGAATAGAAAAATCTCTTTGTTCTGTTATGTATTTGGAGACTTAATTTATACCAGCCTGTTCTCTAAAAGGAATCTTTTGTTCTGTTTCTTTAAATGTGCATTGAGATAGTGAATGCCTTCATTAGTAATTACATGCAGCTTGCCCTTGGGCATAAAAACAGTATTATTCAGCAGTGAATAGATAACCTTAAAGTGGTTGGCTGGACTAAGGAGTTCCATGTGCCAACAATATGGTGTATACCACTGCTGGAATATGCTCCGGAAAACTCAGTGCTTGCCTCTTACTGTGTGAGTGTATTTCAGCAGTGAGGGAGCAGTGGTTAAATCCAAGAGTGGAGGCTGAGGTGTTTCTTCTCTTTCCTGACTTCTTGCAACTTCTGTGTTACATTTCTTCTTCATGCTCTGAAACTGGAGGATGTTTCTTCTCCTCATAGTTGTATCAGCCTGTAGGCATGAATTCCTGTACAGTTTTATAAAAGGAACGAACCAAATAAACATAGTGAACTGTGTTTTACACGAAACAGAAATGCGTAGCTTCATAACCTCAGGAGGGTAATTTGCATGTCTTTCACCTTCCCAGTGTAGCTGTAATCTGGACTGATGAAGCAAATATTCAAGAGGATTTAGGAAGAAAAAACAAGTAGTGGTTTTAAAGAGGTGTTAAACAAACATGGATGTTAATGCTAGTTATGGTAAGTGCCTGAGAAAGTTAAGTGGTGGTTGCTGCAAATGCTGGGTTATGTTTCTTTGGTTCCACATCTTCTAGAACTCTTAAAACAAATGACACTTCTGCCAATTACTTTTCCAAAGGACTGAATGGACTGATTTGACACTGCCTTGAGTACTGCTTAACTGCAGCAGTGGCCTCATCAAGAGTTAAGATTAACTTTTAAGTCCCCATTTCAGTATTGTACAGCTTGAAAGTGTTCTGAAGACCTTGTCTGACTGACTTTTTTTTTTTTTTTTTTTTTTGGAGTCTTTCTGACATTGTATTTGAGGTGAAAAGATACAAAGACAACTACTACTGTTACTAATGTCAGTTTTCATACACTGCTATTTCTGCCTGTATAAAGCAAGTCATACTGACAAATGAGACTGTAAAACTCTGAACTCTGCTACAGGAGGCTGGATTTTTCCTTTAGTGGCAAATTCTGTTCCTTCATTTTTTCAGCCAAAAACTGTGAATTGCTGCTTGTTAACAGAGCCTGCATCTGCAGCCGTGGTTTTTAATTCTTGTAAAATGTTAACATTGCTGGCATTAATGTTTAAACATAACAACAGGAATTCATGCTAGATAGCATTGACACTAGTGAATTTCAATAGTAAAATATACTCTGACTGTATGCAGTTAATTTAGTGCGTGTATATACAGCAGTTAATGTTTCATTGTATAATTTCTTGCTTCTTTTTTATGACATTCTTTAAGAGAGAACTGAAGTCTAAAGTACAAGTTTCTGTAGACAAATGGAGATGCAACACAAAGGGCTGATGATGAAGGATGTTGCAAATGTCTGCATTTCAGAAGACGCTGCTTATAAGATGACTAAATGCATACAGAATGGAAATGATCGAGTAAGGTCTGGATTTTCCATTCGGTTACAAATGTTTCACTAGTAAGCTCAAATCTTAATTGGGAAAATTCTTCATGTGTAATATTTGGAAATAGGTCCAGTTTGTCCCTGTAGTAAGTTGAGAACATAGTGCATTTTGAAGGATATTTGAAGGTCAATCCATGGAGTATAACTTGGCTTTGTTTGCTTTGCCTAATTATTCAGGTCTGCTGAGGTATGACTTGTGCTAGGTACTGAGACCAGGAGGCTTTCTGTGGAAACGTTGAACAACTCACTTGGAAAGAGAACAGTATTTTAAATTAAACAATATGCTGATGCCTAAGAATAATTACTTTGATTCTGAGTAATGATCCATGAATAGCAATACTGGCTGGTGAAAGGGGAAAATGAAGGAGCAGGAGGGGAGAACAATCACTGTAAATCCCAAAACCTTAAGATCACTGGAATTGCCAGCTTATATTGACTGTTTGATGATGTTCTTGAGAGCTTTCCTCACTGAGAGGAGATGTTAGAGCAGTTTCCCAGAACCATTACATCATAGATAGGGTGGGATACTGGTGGTTTTCTCAAAAAAACAAATAAACAAAAAAAACCCAGAAGACAGAAATGAACTATTACTGTAGAAAACTTGTATGCCTTGTTGTTGGCTTAGAATCCCTCTGGAGAACCCCATATTAATAAAATGGCATTTTCTTTTCTGTCAGTGGTTACGCTCACATCACAGTAAATGTGATCTGATTACTTAACACTCAAGATATATTTCCCTTGCTCCAAAGTCTCAGGGACCCTGGACTACTGAGAGAGAAGTCTTTTAGCAAAGGCTGAGGTGAAGAAGACATTGAATATTTAACCTTTTTGGTTTTGTCACCAGCCATTCAGTAGTGGGCCTGCATTTTTTTTTGCTGCTGACACACATACAGAAGCGTTTGTGTTGTAATTGTTGCCCATCATGTTCCTCACAAAATTGAACTCTGCGTGGGCTTTAAGATCGACCACACTGCTTTGTATTCAGGTAATGTTTCTATTTCTCCCCTGAGTCACCTCTCTATTCTTCTGCTTCTTGTATTCTTCCTTTTCGAGTCAGAGTTTGGTCAGTAGTGGTGTGTTTTTTTCCATAAGGCTTCCTGCCATCTTTTGGGTGGACTGTTCTTGAGCTAAGAGGAGGTAAATTTGGAAAGTCAACTATTTCTCCGGAGCCCCTCATCTTTCTTAGGCTGCATCCTTGTATTGCTTCAAGCAGGTCCTTCTGTTCCAGAGAACCGTGTGTATATGTGTGTGTATATATATATGTGTATATATATGTATATATCCATATATAACCCCATGGATACCTTGTCACTTATGACATATCTCTGTGGAGTCATTTGAATGTACTTAACGTTGTTAATATTAACTAGTACATGAGTACTAAATATTTATCTTAAATGTTATCAGTATAAAAATGCTACTAATATCCAATTAAATATCCAATTAGAGGATACTGGAAATGGCTTGCTGCTGCTGTTCTTCATGGGGTGTCAACTTGCTTTTAAATTTTAAACCCTTTTTTTGTAAATTTCTTCCAAGTTTCCACTTGAGGCATTCAATATGTGTGGATGGATTTAAATATCCTTCAGCTGAGTCTGCAAAGCTGATTTCTTTTTTTCTAGTAGGTCAAGTTTAAAAATATATACTTTCTGTGTAACTTTCAAAGCTCTAGATGAGAGGGCAAGTTAGTAAGCTTGCCTCTATTTATTGGTCTACACTAAACTTGACTTTCATTACCCTACCTGTCTTTATAGCTTTTACAGTGTAATACTTGTGCCGAATAATGGAGAGGTTAAACAAATGCAGTTTCTCAAACTTCACCAGAACAGCAGTAAAAAGGTCAGATTTTATTTAGTGTGCCGTGACTAAAATGACAAAAAAAAAAAAAGGGTTGTGAAGGGCCAATAGCTGCTAAACCATCGAGTTTCCTGTAGCAGCTGAAGTACTACTTAATTCTTGGCCATATTTAATTAAAAATAAAAAAGCCTTTTTTCCCTCCTCTCTTGAAAAATCAAGGGGTAAGATTGGGAACTTCAGTCAATTTTTGTCTGGTTTCAACTTAACTTGAATCTTTCTCTGGAAAGGTAATTTCAGTAAGCATAGCACTTCGTTTTCTTCTGTTAAGTTAATACTGGAGAAAACCTGCATTCCTGACCTCCCTTAGCTGCCTGCACTGGCACTTAGGCTGTCAGCCCAGCCCACCCCCCGTGCAGCAGGAAGAAATGCATTTCTCTGTTGATCTGATTTCCCTTCTTTCTCTGCCCCCAGCTTTGTGGAGATTTTTTGCAACGCTGAACTATAGAATATTAAATGCTTCATCTCTCACTTGCAAGCTAACTTGTGGCCCTGCAATTTTGAATGTGGGTATGTAGACTCTCTGGATGTTCTTGAGTATTGCAACCCTGAAGCAGTTCAGTAACTTGTTTGAAGAGCTACAGCTTAGCCATTGTTGCGAAAGACTCTTGGATAGTTCTCTGCAAGAGGAGAAGGCATAAAACTCTTCCCTGTGTGTGACTTTTGCTAGAAGATATTGATGAAGCTGATAATTAACCATATAAAAGTATAGCGTTAGAGGAAGTAAAATATGAGAGGTTTTGTAAGCTTGAAGGATCTAGTTTTTACTTTCTAGTTGGCTTTCAAGCTGCCCCAACATCTTATATTGTTTATTTTGCTTTCAGTGTGGTGGTTGCTCCAAATAATTATTTTCTTCAGTTCAGTTATGTGTAAATTCAGACCGACTTCCTCCAAAAAGACAATGTGTTGGGGAAAAGCTAGCTTCTAAAAAGACTTGAACAGTTACCACCTTACCACCTACTGCTTTAACTGGTAGCAATTTTTTTTTCTGCTGTTTTTTAGTGCTTGACTGTGACCTTAGAGTTGTTTGCTGTTGTTTGCTTTCTTGTCCTTTTCATCTAATCCAGAAATAATGTCAGATCAGGCACTTCTTTATCTGATTTTTTTTTTTTTTTTTTAATAGACATTTCCAGGCAGAAATAGCTGATAAAAGGTGCTTTGTTACTATTTGCAAATTATTTGTTGGTATTCCCATGGAAGTTGCTGATATTCTGCCTGCTGTAATATTTGCAGAGCTGGTACAAATGGTCAAAATCAATATGGAAAATAGTCATACAATATCAAGTATTTCATTTATCCCTGGGTTTATAAAAAAAAAAAAAAATACAATATATATATTTTTTTATGAAGACCACCTACAGTTGTCATTCTAGTGAAGAAAAAGCAGTCTGGGCAGAAAGTACTTATGTGAAGCTTGGGCTGGTTTAGGGACTGTCTTTCTGTCCAGTTCTATGTCTTTTATATTAGAAGTACATATTCTTAGAGATCATTCTGCTCTACCTGGGAAGTGCTCTTCTTTCCCCTGAACTGATCTGTGAACATTCTGTGGTGAAGTCTTGAGTCTGTTGATGATGATGATGATAATAATAATAGATTTCTTGGCATGTTTATTTGACTGAACACATAGAAGGCATGGAGGACAGGATGTGTGCGGCTTAGTTATGTGGAGGGTAATGTTTGCATGTTGGGTAATGCTTTGGTAGTAGCAGATTGTCAAAGAACTTGCAAATGTACCAACAGCGTAATTGTGCATGGTGGTTGCTTGCTGTAAAGTTTGGCATGTGAGTAAGGAGACAATTTAGCTCTATGATAAGTTATCTGTTGGGGCAGTACTAATTAGTCTATTTGTACTTCAGTAGCAGGATTTATAAGAGGTGCTCTGAGGCTTGCTGATGATTCACAGGTCTGAGTGTGTGGAAAAGAACTGGATGTGCTTTTCAAGTCTGTGCTGTTTGGTATGAGGGATCTTTTGCTAGACTTCCTTCTAAGGTAAAAGTAGCTAATTCTGCTGAGAGTGTTGTTTCTGGAGGACAATTAATGTCTTATTCCTCCAGCTGAGTTTTGGATATGCCCAAAGGTCAGAACCAGCTATCTTATTAGGTTGAAGTGGAGTTATAGTTTGTCTTAGAGGGGTTTTTAATTCAGAAATAAGAATAATTCTGTCTCACATAATTCAGCTCAATATGTGCTTTTGTTTTCTTTATGTCAAGTTATGTATCTTGGAAGTACATAAAGCATCCAAACCTCAGCCTTGTTATCAGTACTGAATTAGTAGACATTAGCAGCATGACTAAAAAAAAATATTTTGGTACCTACATTTTCAGTTTGCCATATGGTTTTTGCTTCATAGTTATGTATTTTACTTGGACAGCAGGATTTCCTTTGCCTCAGGCCAACTGAATTTGTCTTAATCTCCAGTGTAGACAGGTAGGTCAGCTTGCTGCTATTAGGGACCAGATGGCTGGAGTGTTCTAATTTACATGACTTATTGCCAGAGGACTTTGAAACTGTGCCTTGCTATGCTTGGAATGTAGCCTACAGGGTGATCATGAGAAAACTGGGAGCCAATATACAGCATCCATTTTGACTGAGAGGTAAGGTGGCTAGACTGTGATTCAGCAGTCTTTGTTTTTGTCTAGCTTAAAGGGGAAAAGAATTGGTCCTATTAAATGCAAAACTATGTGCATTGTTTCTTTGGCATAGCCTGGAAGCCAGAAGACAATTGAACTGTTTCTTTAGACTTGTATTTCAAACTTTTATTGCACTGGCCTATTATACTACATGAAAGAAAGACGACTTAGTTTAATGCTGTTTTAAGAAGCTTAATCTAATAGTAAGTGATGTGTTAATCCAGTTTTAAAATCTAAGTGAGAAGAGTAGCAGTGAAGAAATTGGGAACTTTTCTGCAATGCTTTTGAAAAAGCCTTTAAGAGAAAAACTTTTTTTTTTTTTTAGGTACAATAAAGTTTAACATGTTAAAACTCACTTTTTTCAGTCATGCAGGAAGAGAAGGATTAGATTGAGGAGTTACCTGTAGCTCTGTTCGCTTATTTCTTCATTTAAAAAAAAACAAACAAACAAACAAAAAAAAAAAAAAACCAAACTTTTAAAATTGCTCACCTCTTCTGCTGACTTTGCAGGAAGTCGTATCTCTACTGGCAGCTACAAATGTAATCTGGTAAAATTGCTGAAGGATTTGTGAAATTTGAGTAGGACCAGTAAGTATTATATGCCCCAAAGTTGTTGGAGTTAATTGGCTAAATTTAATGCTTTGCTGCTGTGCCAAGATGCATGCAGTTCTGCTACCACTTACCTACATGGATGATGGTAGCTAGGGATCAGGACATGGTAAAACAATATTCACTTGAGCTGTCTTAAAAAAGATCCTAGTGAAATTGCATGGAATATCAACAACTGGATCTGCTCAATACTGTAAATAAAAACAAGAATCTGGATTGCAATCCAAATACTGTGGCTGACAACTGTGAAGGAAAACAGAGCACTGAGTACCTTTTGTTTCTCTTTTCCTGCCAGGGCCCTTTGCCTCTTCTCAGAAGTTTTCCTTGTTAATTTAGCTCAAATGATTGGTTTCATGAAGGGGAAACTCAATAGTTGTGAGATAGTTACTGAGCCCTTGCCACTTTGAGCCCACTGAGACAAATTATCCCTGAACTCAGTTCAAGGTACAGAACTGATTTTGTAGGCCTTCAAGGGTCAAGGCCTTGTGGGGATGGATGAACTCTATGAAAGGTATAGGATGTACAACTGGATGCCGTTAACTTCAGTCATCACTATTTAAACTATGATGGAGAAGTTCCCTGATATTGTAAGAGAATTGAAAGTGCCTTCTTAAGGAGATCTTGTAATCTCTGCCCTTTTTCATTTTTCATTTTTTGATCTGGCCTCAAAAATGTACTCCAGCAAGGAGTAGGCATAAATCTGGAATAATTTTGTCTGGCTTCTGACACTGCTAAATGGATTATTCATGGTCCTGGCATCTAAGCCCATTTTACATCCTGGAAAAGCAAAGAGAAAAAAGGACTAGCCAACTCAATTTCAGAGTTATTTAAGTTGCTATAGCTCATCCTAGCAGGATTTCAGATACAGATCTTCAATGTAGAAACTGTTTTCCTTGTGCAGTTATATCAAATATTTCCGTTTATTCTTTTTTTCCTCAGGGCAGACATATAAAGAAATGAGGAAGTTGCAGAGAAATTCATGAATCTGCATTGATTTAGAACAAATTTCTGATATGAGATGTAACAATGAAAGTGTTATTTTGCTTCCTGGAGGCTTGCAATAAATGGAAGAATGCATAACTCATCAACTAGGAGTTATTTCTTTTTAATGTGAGATAGTTTATGATGAAGTTCCTTATACAGCGTACAGACTAGATGACTTTATTTTATGAGTACTCTGAATTTGTCAAGCAGAAGTTCTGCTGTAATTTGTCCTCTGGGACAAACCTAGGGCTAGAGCCAGGGCTGTATGTGTTCAATGAATTTTGATGCAAGACTGTTCTTGGACTCCTAGATAAAATAGAGCTTTTCTCACTTTTTAACTAGGGAAAACAAGCTGCAAGGAGATCTTTGTCTACAGTATTTGAGTCCTTGTTAATGTCAGTAGAGACATGGAAATGCTGTGTCATGGCCTGAAGCAGTGATTGAGCACCTGGTGGGAAGGCAGGGCCAATCCAGGGGAGCTCAGGTGCATGCAATGCATCTGAGTAACCAGAACGGGTGGAGGCAGGATCCACCCCCTGCCAAACCTCATTTAAGGAGTGGCAGTGGAGGCAAGGGCATTGCTTGCTGGAGGTCCCTGCCTACCTGAGGCCTTCCAAAGGTAAGCAGCTCTTTTCCTTCATTTTTGCATCTGCAGGTGCTGTGTCTTGGCTACAGCAAATGAGAATGAATTCAAGACTTTGCCTCCCTGCTATTATGTCTGTACTTTTCATCCCGTTATAGTATTACACCCTCCTCCCCAATAATAAACAAATACCCCACCACACTGAAAAAGAAGCAGCACTACCAAAACCCAAGCAGTGAACTTTGGACTCCCATGTTAAATGTGCTGTGACACACACTGTTGGTTCTGCTTCTGGGAGAAGTGGGAGAACTAAGATGCAATGAGATGTTTGCTCAAACCACAGCAGGATACCACAAACTCCTAAAGAATTACAGAAGCTGAAACTGTTTCCCCTTCTTGCTGGAAGGCTGTTCTTATCTATATCCAGCAGGCTGAGAAGATAGAAAAGGGACCTTTGGCAGTCCACTTGTCTTTCCTGCAACAGAAGCAGATATGACAAAACTGAACCCGATCAGGAAGTTTTCTTCTTGCTTTGCCGTGGAGAAAATACCCCACAGCAGGAAACTGGGAACACACTGATAGGCTACTGATGAGTGGAAAATGAGAGTGTGTAAAATTTACAAATAAGGTTGAAATCTGAAAGCTGCAGGAACTCTCAATCTTATAGTGATCCTTCTAGCTGGAAGCCTTTTTCCAGCCTAGAAACCTTGTCAGTGCTCAAATATGCCCTCTGCTGAATGTGTCCCATTTCCATAAGATTTCTAGTCTTTCAGTGTCATGTCCACTGTTGTTGAGTAGCAGGGAAGTAGTTCGTTCTCTCTTTGATTCGAGCCAAGTGCCTGTAGTTGAAGTTACTACTCCAGCAAGGAGAATGGAGACCAATATGAATGTTTTGAAGTTGGAACAATGAAACTGACTTGGTAACATTTGCTTGAGAACTTCCCTTCCCCTCTGCAGCTCTGGGCTGATAAAATCTTCAAGAAGTGAAGGTTTGATTACTGTGTTAACTGGTGAAGAGTGACTTTGGAGCAGTGGATAGAAGCCAACTAATTATTATTAATAATCAGTGATAAGAATTTCATGGAAACTGTTCCCTCCTGATTAGTTAAGGGAAGATTATTGTAGGTGAAACAACATCTGTGTATCTGAAACAACAGTTGTAATCCTGT